ACCTGTCTACCTGCTCCTTTGTTGCATCGACTGGATTCCGTGGCCTCAGTTTGTGGCACCTTGCTTGGGTCATGCAACCCACGCCCCACACACACCCCTCAAAGGAGCAGACAGTGCAAGTGTCCAATGGGATGTGGGTTCCAATCTCCCCGAAAACTTTTCTTAAACCATGCCTCTGTCGCTTGCTCGTTTCATGCCCCTGTACTTGCCTCCAGCTCAGGGTTCTCCCGTGTAAGAGAGGAAGAATATTGGCATCCGCCAAGGGCTTGGAAGACTTCAAGAGGATTTTAACAGGGAAAAGGGGAGGTACTCACTGGGTCCTCAAAAGTATGCCAGCACTCCTGCCAAACACCCCCACAGCCCTCGCCCCATCCAAAAAGCACGGGGTTTAGCACTCAGTCCACGGGAGTGAATAACTGGAGCCTGGCCACTTTCTAGTTGCAGCAATGAAAAGGCTTGTTCTTCTGACTACCTGGAGCAAACCGGCCAAGAAGGAAGATTTCCCTTTAAAGTTTTCCCCCTTCCCCACCTACTCAGCCCCTCCACAGCCCAGTTCCCCAAACCGCAGGTTAAGGCTCCTTTTCCGATGACTTTGTTCACAACCAACTGTCAAAATCCTGACTGATCTGTTCGCTCAGGGATGCTCACACAGTACCTCCCCAGCCTGCAGCCTTCAGGAAGGTCCCTTGTCCTGTAAAGGGAGCTCAGGTTCCACTTGGTAAGCCAGGAAAACAGCAGTCATTTGGCAGAATTTAGAGAAGATGGCTGCAAACGGAGTTCCACAGTCACATACAGGCAGAGGCTCCACTAACAGCAAGCAGATGGTTTTGCATTTTTCTAAGTGTCCCAAGGAAGTCTTTAAGACCCCAAGGAAGCACAGGGGTGGGGGGTGGGGGCGTGTCTTTTTGCTGGGCTGAGGGCTTGCCCCAGGATCCCTGAAATCACGCTAGTCTGCTCAACCTATTCTTCAGGCTAAACTTGGCTGATTTGAAAACCACGACATGTGTGGAAGGTCTTGGGAGCGCTCAGAAATCCTCATCTGGACCACTGGCAGGAGGATAAGGGCCAAAGGGCTCCTCCCATTAGTCCTGAAGCCTGGGACCCAGCCAAGAGGGCTCCAGGAATTCTGATGAATTGGAGCACATCCTGCCAGGGAATGTGAGAGGCCTTGCAGCCGCAGGCTCATGGTCTTTCCAAGGGACCCCCGGGAGGCCATGGCTGCAGCGGAGGTTCAGGTTTGATCCTGGTCCGGGGCTGCCCAAGCAGAAAGGAGGAGGTGACCCACGTTCAGCAAGAAGGTAAATCTGGCAGCGTGTACATCCTGGATGTACCTTGAAACCAGGCTCAGTGAGGGAAGCCCATCAGAAAGGCCTGCAGACTATGGCCAGAGAGGGAGAATCCACAGATACAAAGTGGACTGTGGCTGGAGGGGCCGGGGAGAAGGAGGACTAGGCAGGGGTTGTTCATGAGTATGGTATTTCTCTGGCGGTGCTCTAATGTTTTAAAATTCAAGGAAATGTTTAAAAATTGATTCTCATGACGGCTGCTTGATTCTCTGAACCATGGATCGTACCCTGAAAATGGGTGGGTTCTGTGGCAGGGGAATTCTATCTCAATAAAGCTATGGTCTTTATTTTTTAAGCCTTATGCAGTCCAGGTTCAGGGGAAATGCCTCAAGTCGTTCTGACAGTCACATGCTCATACACACACACACACACACACACACACACACACACACACCGCAAGGCCTTCTGAAATGACCATTGGGGATTGTGTCCAGAATGGAACCCCCTCGCCAGGAAGAAAACAGTAGATCTTCACTGGAGAAAGCCTGGTCCCTCAAGTCCAAAAACAAACCTCGTTATCACATGCTGCACCTGGGGCGTGTCCTCCTTGTCCCCTGGGGGGAGGACTCCTAGGGGCTTTCAAGGCAGAGTTTCAGGAGCACTCGTTTTTATTTCTCCTCCCCAGAGTCCCCATATTTCTCAAGACCAGTTCCCTTTCCATCCCCTTCAGCTGCTACTAGCATTGGACCCTTCAGCCTTCTTGAGGAAGTGGGCTCTCACTAGCAGCTCCAAACATAACATTCAGGGAAACCCAGGCCCCTGTGGGTGTGGCACACATGTTCCCGGAATGGGCTTTCTTGTAGAGCAGGTCCAAATCCCAGACTGACCTAAACCGTTAGAGTGACTTTAATGCAACCCAAACTCACACACCACAGGGCACTTCCCACTGATGACCCAAGACCATCACCAAGTCTGTTCAGAAATAGGAGGAGGAAATGGAACATGAGGTCTGCCTAATTGCCTTTAATTGAATAGCTACCACCTTTGCCATGAGAGCAAAAAAACAATAAAAATGGAATGGTACCTTAAATACTTTGTTCAACAATTCTATGGAAGAATTCTGATCAAAAGGGGAGGAATGCAGAACAGAATTTCAAATTCTTATAGGCTGGATGAACCCCTGACACTGTTGCCCTGAGATTATCTTTAAACGTTAAACTGAACATATACCCTAAAGTCTTCTTAAAACCAAACAATGTTTTTGCTTAAAAACTCAACAAACACTGCCACTGAATGGAGGCTAACTCAGTGACCTTATAAAACATCAGAGGACTATCCTGAAGAGTTTCCAAGATTATAACTCTGTATGGGAGTAGAAAGTCTCCCTCTTTCTCCCAAGGAGTCGCTCGTGGTTTTGAACTGCTGACCTTGCAGTTAGCAGCACAACCCACACATAACCGCTATGCCACCAGGACTCTTCTTTTAGCTTCTTTAGTGAAGAATGTCTGCATTGAGTTTATCTATACAGGAACAAAGTGACAATAGCAATTTGCAAGATTAAGTAGAAAGCTTAAGGGGCTTTCCTCTGCAGAGCTAAGAAGAGGGAAGAAAATCTAAGTCTCAAGGAAACAAGTAATCTGAAACCCTAATGGGCCATGTGAGCCAGAGTCTCTCTGACTCTGAGACAAGAAGAACTGGATGGTGCCCGCTACCACAACCAGCCACTCCAACTGGGATGACAGGAGGAACACAATTCAAAAATCTTAAAAAGTCACTTACTGGTCTGATAGACTAGGGCCCTTAGACACGTGGGACACTGGACACGGTTCACACATAGAACAGAACCCACCTCTGGGGATTCATCAGCCAAACACCAGAGCGACCTACAGATGACCCGTGAGGAAGGAACGCACCCATTGGACAGCCACCCTAGGAGACCACAGAGCAGCATCAAGCCCCAAAGTCAGGAAGGGCAGGGGAAAAGGACCAATGAGGTTGAACTGCAGCACTGAGGGTCTGAATTGCAACCCTCTGATCTAACTCACTGCAACAAGCAGGCATTTTCACTTGTGCATTTGGAGGGGAGCGGACACAGAACCCAGAAAGAAGGGAAAGAGTGCTATTCATTACGGAGGTTGCGACAAGTCACGAAACGAAAACAACAAAAACCACCACATACATGTGGGGTGGGATTTGCTGTGGAAACTTTCACTCAGACCACATGAAAGAAAGAAAGAAAGAAATGGGGGCGAAGAGTTTATACTCACAGGATAGGGGCAGCTCAGATGAGGAGTGTGAGGATCAAGTAGTGGGAGGAGGTTGCACAACTCCAGGGATGTAATCCATCCACTACATGGAGATGAGGGAATTGATGTGTGCGTTTTGTTATGGATATTTTCAACCACCACAAAATAAATGTTAATGAAAGAAGAGGGACACAGTCCCTGTGATCCCACACTCCCAGCTCACGCCCTGGGACTGAGGCCACGCCACCAGTTCCAAGGCTCCTCTAGGCTGGACCTTACCCAGTCTCCTCATTACGCTCTGCTCCCCCAAAGCCCAACTCCTAGAGATTGGCCCACACCCCAAGCCCCACCCTGTCCCCAAACCCCACCCTGTCCCCCGCTGCGCACTGGAAGATTTGAAGCTGGGAGGGGTTCCAGGGATAAAGTGGAACAGAAAAGATGGGCAGGCAGGACCTCAGTATGGTGGTTCATCTCAAAGCAGCAACCTCCCTTTGCGCTCAGGCACCAAAGTAAAACCGTGAAGCATCCCGGTTTTTTGGCGAAGAATCATGGAGAAGGTTCTGTCGCCATCCTCCTCCTACCGAATTCTGCCTGCTTGCTGCCCTCTGCGTCCAGCACTTGGTCCCCAGCTACTCAAAAATGTGCTAATGTCAAAGGGTGGCTGGGAGTGTTGTTCCCTATGATCTCCATCACGGCTCTCCCAAGCACCCCAAACGCAGTCGACAGAAAAGCCGTGCGTTTTCTAGGTCTGTCTAGACTCGTGGCGCCGTCGTGGTCACGCGCTGGGCTGCTACAATGTGTGCAGTTTGAAACCAACAGCGTCTCCGAGGGAGAAAGACCAGGCTTTTTGACTCCCTTATAAAGTTACTGGCTTCGGAAAAACACAGGGGCACTGCTACCCTACCCTTAGAGAGTCGCTATGAGTCGGCATCTACTCGATGGCAGTGAGTGTGGTCTGGGGGAAGTTAATCCCCAGAGCCCTGGCGACATAGCAACTCAAACCCATAGGGCAGGGCTATTCTGTCCTGTAGGGCGCTAAGCGAAGGAGCTGAAATCGAGTAGATGGCAGTAAGTGAAAAGATAAATCCCGAAGTCGCTCTCTCACCAGACTGGGGTCTTTACCAAGTCCCTTCTACATGGGAATATCGACGCCCCCACTGCCCCGCAGTCCAGCCGGGCCCACAGCGTCCAAGAAACTGGGGGAACAGGGAAAGGCGAGGTCCCGTGCGCCCGGGAGCGCAACCCCAGGCACGTCTACAATCAGCACGCTCGCCACGTTCGCCCTCGGCACCCCGGGACTCCTGCGGAGAAGCATGCGGGCGCCCCCTCCCTCCCCACCCCACCCCACCCCACCCCAAAGGTGCCTAGCCACCGGGAGCGCGAGATCAGAGAAGGCCCACGGAACGAGGCGACTGTGCAGGTGGCTCGCCCGCTCCCGCATCGCCCATCACGAATGCGTGGGACTGACCTGAGCAGGGCAAGGGTGCAGCCAGGCTGGGGACTCGGGGCGCGGCGCCCAGCACGATCCCCGCTCCGCCGGGAGTTGGCGCTTGCCTGTAGCCCGCTCTCGCTCGCGGTCCTCCGGGGGCCTTTCTGAATGGGAGGCTCCCCGTCTCCCTCGCCGAGCCCCGCCGCCCAGAGCCGCCCCCCGCGCGC